TATAACTCGTAAAATTAAATACTAAAAAATACAGTTTTTAAAATAACAAAAAAATCCCTTTAATCAATAATGAAAGTTTGGCCTTGGTTGAGTTGCCAATTTTGACCCGTGCATGCCACTCAAGTCAACCTCTTGTTTCTATTTCACCCACTACTCATAAAAAGGTTCTTCCTAATTTTTTATTTTTGATTATTTGATTATGTAAAAAAGGTTAATATTTAACTAAATAAAAGAAAATTATTTTTTAAAAAAATTTATTTCTATTAATTTTTGAAGTCTTTTAGTTTTCTTTCTTTCAACATTCAAATGGAACACTTTACAAGGAGAAAAACAGTGGTCTATAAGATCCACACATATATTATTTTTTTGCATATCTCATAAATTTTTTAAAATAATCAAACAAAGATATATTTTATTTAAAAATAAATTAAATATTATAAAAATATAGAATTATTTTATTTTATATATGAACTTAAAAAATTCTAATAAATCAAGCATTAGTCCATTTTAGCACATAAATTTCAATTTCAGGCCAGTACTCTACGGGTTCGTTTTGTAGTCCGGATAAGAGTAGATAAGGATAATTTATCTATCCTTATTCTATTTTTATCCATGTTTGGTAGGTGAAATTAAGCAGGATCAAATAAAATATGGGTAGAAGAGAGATTAGATAATAATAAAATCAAATCTGGATAAACTATATTAGGAGAAGGGGTAGGATAATTTTACTCGACTTTTACTTAACTTTTTTAGACAATATTATCCTTACTACTACTGTTAGCCGCCACTTTCGCTACTTCTACCAAACAAGATAATTATTCAAATTATTGTGTAGTCAGAATATTTAATCGCAAAATTTGTTCTATCCTATCTTATCCTATCTAATATATTAAAAGATTCCTATTTTGTGAGAGTGAGGTAAAGTATACATAAACATACATACATACATATGCATATATATATAATAAGATATGAATTTCACTTAAAATGTGAAAACCTAAATTTATATAAAAAAGAAAGTAGGAGTACTTGTTTGGCTGTTTTTGATGGCCCCACTGTAGGCACATACTAAGAATGAACCTTGCGTAGGGCAGGGGTGGGTGGGAATAGACTAAATGGATGAAATGTTGTGGCTTTTTTAGATATTTATTTTTTGAATTGTTGTCCGAGTACTTGTTGGCTTCAGGAAATCTCGAGCGTGGTTCCTTATTCTTTATTTTATTTTTTAAAATAAAATAATTAGCTTTAAATAATATTTTTTTTCTGAATACACTTTAATCTAATCTTTTTTTCAAATTTATTATTAATTTTATATTTTTCAAACCTTTATATATAATACAATATAATATTTCATTTTAAAAATTTACTTATGAGGATGGCATCACAAGGCAGGCGTTGTTAGAGGTCAAACGTGTTGGGTGAGCCAAAGGGGGGATTAAACTAAAGGACGACATCGGTGGGCGGCCTCCTCTGTCCTTTTTACACCACTATTAATAGATGAGAGAGAGAGAGAGAGAGAGAGAGAGAGGGAGCGAGGGGGGGGGGGGGGGGGGGGGGGTCGTTAGACAAGGGCCACCGTCCCAATTGCATGTGGGAAATGATCCCACATTCCCACCCCGTAAACCACGTTGCACTTCTTTCCCAATAATTCAAACCAAATCACGTACTTCCAATTTTCGTTTCGTTCTCATCTTTCTTACTTTTCTAAGTCTACTCCTCGTCGTCAGACACTTAGCAGTGTTGTTCAATGAAAAAGAGAGGATTAAACAGTGTAAAATTCTAACTTTTAACTCTAATTAAACAAATCTAACCATCTCGCTACCTGGGTTAAGAGTGCCACCTCACTTCATTTACTTAGTGCAATTTATGATTGTCCACCGCAACAACTCACATGGCCCTCTTTTCTATCATGGGAATTTCCTTCAACCACCAACCAATAAAAAAGAAGAGAAGAAATATATCATACAAGGTAAAATTAAACTAAATCTTCAAAATATTGAAGTCTAACACCTGACTTTTGTTTAGTAAATGTAAGTAAGATTTAAGAGATAATGACAACTAGTTTAAATTAGTTAACAAAATCCCATTTTTTTTGTATTCATTTGCAGATGCAAATAGTGAAAGCCATAAAAATATATAAATGTAATTTCTTTTAAGATAGTTTGTTGTGACAGATTAACCTATTATTGTGAATTTTACAGAAAAGAAATACTTATTTTAATTAATTAAATGTCTGCCAGAAAAGGGGGGGGGGGGGGGTAATTAAGTGATATAGCTACATAGTTTCAAATGGGATTAATTGTCCACTTTCTTACTTCAAATGGGCTAGGTGAAAATGCATTATACTTAGGGGAGTTTAGTGTAATTTACCAATTCTACTAGATAATTTGCATCCTTGTTTTGGTAAAGTTGTTAGCTCATTCTACTCATTTATGTTATCTTCCTTAAATCTGACCCCATTAGGTTGGGCGATACATTTATTTGATTGGAAAGAACCAAACTGCAGTATGAACAATATGGGTGCGCATTAAATAGGATTAAATCTGACCCATTTCCTATTACTCTTTTTTCTGAATTCATCACACTTAGCATGTATTTTATTCTTTTTTTTTTTGGTCGATTAGGGGCTTACCCATTTCCTATGTGTTTATTTTCCGAATTCATCACACTTGACATGTATTTAATTCTCTTTTTTTTGGGTCAATCAGAGCCTAAGTTAATCAAAAATTTAAACTAAGGGAGCAGAAAAAGGTGATCAGTCAAACTCCTGACCTCATAACCTCACAAGTACCCTACCATTTTAATTCTTAATTTATTTGAATATATATATTTATTTTCTAACTAATTTAAAATATTTAAACTTTTAAAAACTATAATATCATAACTTTTTTAAGATTCTAGGCTAAAGTGTTCATTACATGAACCAAAAGATAGGGCCATGAAACTTGTGTCCTAACTAATCATCCACCAATTTCTGCTTTGACGGCGACAGAAGAGGACATTCAAACCTCCGGTCTCATGACTCCGTTAGATGGTGCTTGCGTGACCGCATATTAAGAATTGGACATATGCACAGATTCATGCTCAGCGCCAGCTTTAATACAAAGCAAAAAAACCCTTGTTTTAAAGTTTCTTAAAATTTTAGATCTAAAATTTTAAATTTTAATATATTTTATTTTTATAGTGATAATTTAAATAATTATAAAAAATTTTAAAAAATGATAACAATAAGAATTTTTCAATCCTGGTGTTATTCATATTAATTAGTGAATTTAAATGTAATCATTTCTCCATAACTCTTAATTTTTCTTTTTATTTATCTCATAATTAAAATTTACTATTTCTAAAATAATTAATTTTTAATTTTAACACTCGTTTATTTTATAATTCTTATTTTTTCCTCCCTCATTATCTCTTTAGACTCTCACCTAATTTTAACTATTTCATATCTTCCTCTATAAATTCAAGTGTTTAGGTTTTAATCTTATCACTTTCACGATTTTCTCATATTGATAACACTTTAAATTTTCAACTTAATTGAGAAAAAATATCAAAAAAATGAGAATAAAAATTTAATTAGTAGTTTTATATTTAAAAATTTAAAAATAGACTTTATAAATTAGAATTTATATTATAATTTTATTAAAAAGATAAAATATATAAAGTTTAACTTTTATTCTAAGTTACCAAAATTATTGAGCCACCCCTCTTCATGTTGACAATAAACCCTAATTTTAATTAAGTAGTTGAAAATTCGAAAGTGAAAGTCTAGGAAAAAAAATCAGCACGCTCTTGCTGACGGTTTTACATGGAGGCAATGGCCAGCTGGAGAAACCCATTTCCTTGCAAAACAAATCAACTGAGTGATCCTACTTGTATCTTTTAATATAATGGGCCCCGATTACCCACCAAGTGACTAATATTCAATTATCATCAAACAATTTTCAATGGATATAATTTACTCTGACAGCCAAGCTAGATGGCTGTAGACTTGAAACTTATCACTATTCTAGTCACTCATGTACTATTCTCACTTGGGCTGTAACTGATAGGTTGATTAGCCAACAGAAACAAGTAAATATAGTAAAATATTTATTTATTTATGAAAATAGATTGAGTTTGATTATGTAAAAATAGATATTTAGAGAGGAACAGTCATGTAACTCGAACAAAATTATTCTCAAATTATAAAATGAAGAAGGATAAGTGTGAGAAAGGCTAAAAAAATTAATAGGCTAATTGAATATAGTTAAATACATTTTCAAAATTTAGTTAAAACTGGAATAAATTATGCTTTATGGTGTAATAGAGTAAAATTATGCACACGATTTTTGGATAATTTTGTATGTTACAACCTAATTCAACTCATTTAGATGAATGCTCTTTCCTATCTTATATTTAATTCTAAATCTTAAATTAATAAAACTTGCCGTCTATTAAATAAGTATCAAATATTAATATTAATATTAATTCAACAAATATCGAAGTCATTAATTAATTTAATTAGTCAATACTTGACATTAAATCTCTTGGACAGTATGACTTAGAGTAGAACCCGCATTAAACATATTCCAGAAAGAAAAGAGAATTAATTAAGCTTGCACATTTTCCAACTAAGAATCAAAGCTTAAGGAATAAAAAAGAAACGAAAAGCGTGAACAAGAAGTAAGCAACGTTAGAAAAATTTATTTCACATTATAAAATTATAGATGACCACACAACGGCACAACGTACCTCCACTATGGCACCAGTTCACAAGTACACCTCTAATCCAATACAATTATTTTACTGTTCTGTAGCTCTGCAGCTCCCAAATCATATATCTTAACTGAGTTCCAAGATTGTAATTTTGCTAAATAATATGTCCCTTCTCCTTTTCATCCATCAGCAAAACGTACAACTTAACGGTGTATATCAACACCAGAAATAAAACTAAACTAAACGGGGAGAGCGTCTAATACTTAACGGCGTCAACTGGATCAATTTGTATGGCCATTCCATCACACGCTAACGCTGCAACTCGAGGACAGCTGGTATTTGACCGCGTTTCCGACGACGATGCCGGTGTTCTGGTTACCGAAGGTGATGTAAGCCGGGCATTTGACATGGAGGCCGTACTTGCCGGTGGTGAGGGTGGTGCCAACTTTCCACCGGACGCGGGCGTTGAGCTTGATGAAGAGGATGACGGTGCCGTCGGCCTGATCCTGGCTGAGCGCGATGCCGTTGTAAGGAGCCACTGGGACGTTGTCGCCGGAGAGGAACGGAGACCAGACATTGGCGTCCTTGTGGCCCTGGTATGTCGGTGGAATCTGGGTAAAGTACGTAATCTGCTGGCTCTGGTACGTCGCGTAGACGTCGATCTTGTCGTAGTAGATGCCGATATTGTCATTAGGGTTCCGGGAGTATATGGTAACCTACAAAGGAATTATTACTAATTTTGATAAAATTGTTTAATTTGACAGTAATTGAACGCGAATATTTCAAAATATAAAGTCGAATTAATGATTCTCTTACTTGGAAGGTGGAGGTCAGTAAATTAGGAGAAGTGACGTTGAAGGCGGAGACGGTGACATCCTGGAGGATGAAGCGGGGCTTCTTGGGTTGGAGAATGGCCCAAATTAGGAGGATCGTCACTAGGAGAATGAAGTTGAATATGACGAGTCCGGCGCATATTCGCTTTAATCGCTTCCTCCACTTATTTTCGTGGTGGCAGCACTTTTTCGACATGTTTCCGGTGGGGATGTCCTCGGTGGGTTAATTTTGAGAGAGAGAGAGAGAGAGAGAGAGTGAGTTAGGCTTCCAAGTGGCTAAGTAGCTATATAGAAGGGGCATTAGGCGTTTGTTGTCGCATATTATAATTGAGAGTTACTTCTTGCCTGTAAAGGCCACTTTTTCTTTTCTTTTTCTTTTTTAAAAAAATATTTTATTGAATTAAAAAATTAAAAAAATAGTAATGATGAATACGACCTTTATATTTATAATTAATATAAATAAGACAGAGAGAAATATTTAAAATATTTATTTTATATTGTCATTTCTAATTCTATGCTCGGACTTGCACTAATATTGTATATATATAAATCTTACCTTATTAAAAGCAGTTTCATATAATTAAATTTTTTTATGGCAGTGGGTGACCCTCTTGTTTGTATACGTATATAATTTTATGGGTAATTAATAATATCACAAACTTAATTATATGCATGTATTCAATTATACCACTTTTTGGGTGCTTTCTACAATAAAAAGTTATATTCTAATGGGGCATTATTATAATAGAGTAGTTGAAACCAACAACTTTTGACTTTTACCAAAAGCCGGCCCTTAAAAATTTGGTAAATCAAATAGGAAACTTTATAACATATACGCGAATATATAAAAAAAATAAAAAAATGTGAATTAGTATAGATCGATGTAAAGATGTTATTGGGAATACAAACAAGAAAAGTTTCAGTTACTTCAGATTAAATATCTAGGTGGGTAACTAAGTACAAATAAATAATTGTAGTTGCCAAAGTTTAATCATGAAGACGTAATTATTTACTAATTATACTGTACATGACATAGAGTGAGATTTACTTCATATTTACATTTTTATTTATCATTTTTAAATAATTATTTACTTACTCACATATTTATTTAGCGTAAAAAACCATGTGTGGCACTCAAAAATAATTACCTTCTTCCCAATTTTATTTTTATATTTCTTAGTGTTACTTATCAATATTTTATTAATAATATATATATATATATATAAGTTTGTGAAATGTGACTTAATATTTATCATCCTCTTAAACTACTATTATTTTACCAAATGATTGTCACTTAATATCCCGTATAGGATATAGATCTCACCATTAATTTCCTTTTTAAATTACGAAGTTTGTGCCTATGACAATATGATACATTGTACCAAGACTTTGCCTTCCTTTCCATATATTTTACCCATCAAATTTCTAATTTTAATAGCACGTACATACACACACATATATATAGAGAGAGAGAGAAAGAGAAACACATATAGAGGTAGTCTTTCACATGGGGATGAGAGACATGGCAACTGATATGTGCCTAAAGTTTGACCATGAGGAAATACGTGAGGGAATGGAATAATCCAAACACAAATAAGATTAGGAAAAACCTACTTTCGCCGTAGTTGGGACTGCTTTGTAAATATGAAATTTTGAGTACATCTTCATCTAATTATTATTCTTTTTAAATATAATTATCATAAAATATATGTTTTATATCCATAGAAATTTTGTTTTTGTAGACAGGAAATTGACCAAATTTTTATCTTTCCGATCCTTATTTTATTGAATCATTTGATAATAAGGACACCCAATTACCAACCTAACCTTGAAAACACTTGATCTACATGGAATCTTAATTTCTAGTTGCAATTAGGAATACATAAATAAGCTCAATTAGTTGTGCAATTTAATAAAATAGATGAGATTAGTCGTTATGTGGGAATGCAGATTTGTACGTACTCGAGCACAATCTGTCAAAAAGAAAGGAGCACTGAAAGTGGAGCACTTATTTCCTGACCGTCTGATGGAGATTACGAGACGTTTGGGTCCCACTTATCATGATAGAGGAAGCTTCTTCCTCTGCCGACCAATTTCTGATCCAGAATATACCCTCAACTTGATTAGTATTACCATGTAACCTCACAGATGGAGGAGACCAATGGGGAATCCCTAAATAAATAAATGAAATTTGCAGTCGGTGAGAGTAGCAGTTTTATTTTATTCTCACATTATGGCTTGGATTATACTGCTAATGTGTCAATCATGAAAATGGAGATAACAACAATTTTAATAATTGGTACATAACTATTTAATTATCTTAATTTAATCATAGAATCCAAGAACAAACTCATGATTGTAGTGGGTACAAGTAGAAACTGACATGAACAATGAACAGGACCTCTATATTTTCGTACAAAATTTTCATTATAATATATGTTCATTTATTTATTTACTTATTAGTGCACATTTTTTTTTCCTCCTTGTGGCACGCAAATTGATAAAAGTTAGAAATGAATGATAAGTTTCAGGATCCGGTCAATAATTCTAACATTTATTAAATTAGTGTCGGTATCAATATGTATTAAGAGACAAAATAAAATCACTCACGTGAGTCAATTTGACCTGATCCATCTGATCCATTTACTAGATGGGGATAGATAAAATGAGGGGTAGTTTCTTAATTGAAAAAGGAGAAGAAAAATATAATTACACAAAAGAAAATATTTATGTTATTTTAACGTAATACACAAAAAGAGAGATAAGAAATTTAAACTTCACATTTGAGTTGTGAAAAAATGAGACTATTTCAATTGTAAGTTCCATCAAACCATGGCATTTGGTAAAACAATCCGAAAGATTCTAATTCAAAATATGTATATTTATATAAATTTTAGAATTTTATTTTTTAATATTTGATATTAATATAATAAATATCAGAGTTATTAACTCATTAAATCAGTCTCTAACACAAAATACAAAGTTTGCAACTTACAAGTTAATAGATTGTTTAACCAAAATAAAGATAAACGTTTTGTGTAAATGCACAATTAAGTGAAAGGATTCATAAAATTAGGAAATCTATTGAAGAGAAAATAACATGCTGAATCAATGAGGTGGAGTACGTACTAAACTTGACAAATGCTAAAATTATTATTTTAAAAAAATTTAATTTAGGCTTAGATGAATAGTAATATTACTTTATTAAGTTGGTTGTTTTATTTTTATTAAATCACATATAATAATTATGTAAAAACTAATAAATTACTTTTAGGTAAGGGGGCTCAGTCATGAGGTCACAGAAAAGAGCACTAGCTGCGAAAGCGATGACTTGGAAGACGAATCTTCTTTGGAAGTTATGTGGAAGCGACCGTTGGATTGAAAATTGAAAATTATTCCCGTTGGTAGAATTTTGGATTACAAAGTCAAGTCACCATCCCTTAATTTCTGTGATCTTAGGGAAAATTGCAATGGTAGTCCTCAAATTTATGTGGAGTTTGTATTTGGTCTCTTAAGTTTCAAAACATAGCAATTGAACCCTATATGTTTTGCTTAATTCTATTGAGTTCTATTCCCTTGTGATTAAAAAAAAATGTAATTTATATTCAATAGTTTTACTGTACTACATAGCAAGTGTAGTCTAGTTTGTTAAAATATTTAAATTTATAATTTATGACTAGAATTTGTCCTTTATAACTCTCATAATTCCCTTATCTTTAGAATACGTTCCCAGCTATTTTTATAAACGAAAAAAAAAGTTTATCACGTTTTGACATTATTTTTCCAATTGGTTAAGCTGATTTTTATATCATGTTTAAGAGGCAAAATTACAATGGTAGTCCCTGAACTTTTCATCTTATTGCTGCTGGGCCTCTAGTAATCCATTAACTACAATTAAGGGTGCCAAATATATGAGGTTTTGATAGAAACTGAAATCCAAATTAGAGATATAAGAGAAATAGAAAAGAGATATAAAAATTTACCCCTACATTTAGAGGGAAAATAATTTTGACATTATAATATTGAGCTCACCTTCACTCTCAATAAACGCATATATCACAAGTTTATCTTGAAAATTGATTAAAATATATTCTCTATTTCTAATTATCTTAACATGTAGATATTTATTTTAACCCTATCTCTTATAAAAAAGAAAATATTTTTTTAATAAATTTAGACTTATTAGTTAAACTTGAAAAATCAACGATCTATTTAGCAATCCAATCTCAAGAAATCACCTTATAAAACTTTAACATGTTTCGTATTCTTTATGAATCATTGTGTTTTAAAACTATATTATTGTAATTAATTTTTGAATAAAATTAAAAGATATCAAACATATTATTATAAAACTCAATAGATAACGCTATCTTTTATCCACCAAATTATTAATTATTGGCTTATAAGCCTTTCGTAGGCAAAAGGCTATAAAGTAAGGTTTGCTAAATTGAGAGCGACCCTAAATGTAATGTCTTTAGACAAATCTTATATCGATAAATTACAAAAGAGATATTTAGTCCATAAGTATGCATGCTGTAATCTATGATAGACGCGTTTTAAAACCGTGAGAGCCTTAATTCAAAGCAGACAATATTTATCAGTAGGCTGGACCATTTGTGACATCCCGTCCTACATCGATTTTTGAAAATAATATGATATGGTATATAAGAGACTAAAAACTACTACCAAATAACTTAGGTTTAAACATTTTAGACCAGTGGTTTGAGCTTAACAAATTATTCAGGCCAGTAGCTCTTGAGTTGTTACAAATAGTATCGGAGCAAAACGATCTTCGGACCTGTTTTTTTTTTATACGAATACAGATTTCTAATTTGACAAAGATGTCAAGTGTTTAAGTGAGAAAGATTGTAATATCCCATCCTACACCTATTTCTGAGAGTAATATAATATGGTATGTAAGAGAATAGAGACTGTTACTAAATAACTTGGTCTTAAGTATTTTGGGCCAATGGTTTGGGTTTAACAAGTTATTCAGGCTAGTAGCTCTCGAGTCATTGCACCATTACAAAATAATATCAGAGCTCTAGGTTATCTGTGGTCAACAGAGTAACTGTTCATCTATAGAGTCCCGATTATGATTATGAGTCAACCATTCTCACAATTGAAACACTATAAAGGGACAATTAGGAGTCCTTCTGATTTCAATTGTTACTCTGATCTAGCCTTCTTCCTTAC